TTTTTACTAATTCAAATTTGCCGCTTGTAAAGCGAAGGTTATCAACCTCCTACCTAAACATTTTAAGGGCGGGAAAACAATTTGATTAAAAATTTATAATCTTATAATCTTAAAATTGATACAATTTTTAACAAATTTTAATTATTATTTAATATTGGTAAGTATTATTTTTATTTAATATGTACCTAATTATATTTTGTGTTCATCAATAGTTTTGTATTAAACATTTATCTCACTTATTCTAAATGTATTTTATTTAATTGAATAGTTTTTTTATAGTCCAGGGAAGTTAGGAAACATAGCGGAAATTTTTAGGGACAGCCAATATCGAGATGCGGTTTTCTTCATTGTGTTCAGGAAAAAAGTCTATATCATCTGGTTTAGACATTTATGGAAAAATGCCTTCTTGGCCGGAAAATGCATTTTCCAATTGCATGATTACTTGCACCATTATAGGAACAACTGGAAACTCGGAAAAATCGCTCGAAAATCGTTACTCGGGGGTTTTCGGGGCTGCTGAACTCGATTCTGGCATTAGAATTACCCGGAGGTGGCTTTGTGGGGGTGCGTGGGGGGGGGGGGGGTGAATTGAAGTGAAATAGCAGCGTGCATGAAAATCGCTTCAAACTCGTTACTCGGGAGTTTTCGGGGATGACGAATTCAATTCTGGCATTGGAATTAACCGGGGGCGGCTCTGCGGGGGTAATCGGGGGGTCATTCTGTGAGAGAAATTGCATAGTCCATCAAAATCACTCCAAAATCGTTACTCCAGGGTTTTCGGGGATGCTGAATTCAATTCTGGCATTAGATTTCACCGGGGGCGGCTCTGTGGGAAACGGTGAAGGAGAAAGTGAAAAATCACAAATTATGAAAATAATACTTTATTTTCCACTCGGCCATTCACTGTTGGGTTCTAATTGACAGTGCTGTTCCTAAAGTGGCACTGCGAAACACGAGGCTAATAACCGTAGTAGTTGATGCTGATGACACAAAATCAAAAAAAAAATACTTTATTTAAATAACAAATAGGAGTTTTTTTTATTAATGTTTAATTATTCATTATAAACTTAAATTTTTAACTTAAATATTAAACATCTTGTTCAAACTCTTCTTTTTCCCCTTCTTCATCTTTTTCCTCGTCACTATTCTCGACCCCATTGGAAGTGCCTTTTTGGTTTGAGCAATTGCCATCGCAATGCTTGCATGCAAGTGAGCACTCCAACCCACTTCGGAGGCACCCGCACCTCGTGCCACAGTCGGTTTCACAAGAACAAGAAATTTTGTTTAAAATTTCCTCGGAACCGGCTTCCTGAGTCATGGTGACAGGACTGAGTCCTCCATCCACCAATTCCCACCCCCATTCCAACGGATTCAAGGTCTCGTCTTGACCTTGTGAACCATACCAAGCCTGTACTTGGAAATAGACACCCTTGATATGCTCGGTTAACGCATTGACAGTCGAGATTATGCGTACAAGATCGACTTGTTTAGAATTGGTGGCTTCAGCATACATTTTTGCTCGATAGCTTTGGACGAGCTCAATCGCAGGTTTATCGCTCGTGCGCACATCTTTGGGTGCCCTGTACAGAGCCAAAGCTAGACGAAGCCCATGACCTATTAAATTATCCATGGATACATGTGTTTGCCCAAATATTTCTGCAAACTCATGTAAATCATCGGATTTCTCAAACAAATCGCAGAATTTTACTTTCCCTTTGTTCTTACATGTGTAATATTTATTTATTTAATATTCAATCAAAAGTTTTATTATTCATAACCCTGGATAATTCTAATGCCAAAATTGAATCCGGCATCCCCGAAAACCCCCCGAGTAAGGATTTTTGAGCAATTTTCATGGACGCTGTCATTTCCCCCCCAATCGCCCCCAGACAACCCCACTGAGCCACCCCCGAGCGCCTCCGGGGAAGTTTAATGCCAGAATTGAATTCAACATCCCGAAAATCTCCGAGTAACGAGTTTGGAGAGATTCCCATGGACTATGCAATTTCTCCCCCAGAATGATCTACCGGTTACCCCCGCAGAGCCGCTCCCGAGCGCCCCCCTGTTAATTCCAATGCCAGAATTGAATTCGGCATCTCCGAAAAACCCCCGAGTAACGAGTTTGAAGCGATTTTCATTCACGCTGCCATTTCTCCCCAATTCATCCCCCGCGCACCACCACAGAGCCACCCCCGGGTAATTCTAATGCCAGAATCGAGTTCGGCAGCTCCAAAAACCCCCCGAGTAACGATTTTCGAGCGATTTTTCCGAGTTTCCAGTTGTTCTTATAATGGTGCAAGTAATGATGCAATTGGAAAATGCATTTTTCGGCCCAGAAGGCATTTTTCAAAAAATGGCTAAACCAGATGATATAGACTTTTTTCCTGGAACCTTCCTGAACACAATGCAGAAAACCGCATCTCGATATTTGTTGTCGCTAAAAATGTCCGCTATTCCGGTCGATTTTGATCTAAATGCCCTGGACTATTAATCGAATTTATGAATAAAAAATGTATGTTTCTGCATGCTTAAATTTTGTTCCTGTTAAAATGTGATATTCAAAAGTTTTTTAAGTGCTTTTTTCGATGCACATACAATCTCTACATTTTCTTTGGAAAAGGGGCCACAAGATTTAGGAAACAGGGTTCTGGACACTGGACAAAGGAGATACTGTTATTGTGTCTTCACTTTGGGATTTTAAAATTCATTTTCAATATTTCGAAGGGGTAATTTTAAAAAATTTAGGATTTCAAAAGAATATTATGGATTAAAAATGTGTTTCCTCAGCTTTGCTTTCTAAGTTTCTGTTTTTAGAGTAATTTTTTTGTACTAAATAAAATTTCTCTGTTTTAATTACATCAAGTATTTTTGTTGTTCTTTCTGTCAATCTCTATATTTAACTGTCCAAGGAGAGACATATTTTTTAAACATTAATGGCAGAAGTACACGAGCAAAGGATAAAAGAAATGCATGTTTACATGTGGAACCAGCTCTCTAGTGTGTTCTGTTGCGTTGTGTTGATATGATAACGACCCGATGTAGATAAGGAGAGCGGTTATCGTACGTGTTTGTACTTTCAAAACGCCTACCCATCATCTGCAAATACTTAATAATACGATTTAAATACGCATTACATACAAGAAGAGCGAAATCCAGTTATAGTTTTCATTTCAAATGACATTCAACTCTCGTAGGCGAACGACGATTTTAATATTTATATGAGAGAGGATCGCAGTTTGCATATACAGGTTATTTATTTCAAGATATATGCTTTGGTATTATTAATCAATTTCAAAATGTACAGAATATTATATTGTTTCACAAGTGACGAAAAATGATTTTCGACGAGTAAAACACTATACTTTTTCTACGAACTCTATTATGTCATGTAGTTACCTACTAAAATGAAAAAAAAAAAAAAACAAACGTTAGCAAATACTTTATTTTGTGTTAGGAATAACAAAAATTAACCAACAATTAAATATTTCAAAAATATTATTTATTATTTAAATATTGATTTATTGTTATATTTGAACAATTGTTCAAAATTATGGGGGTATCACACTCAAGCTTTTTATTTATTGAGGTAGATGCCGACATATTTGTTCTAGTGTTAAATGTCATTTCAGATGATGATGCGCCATAATCGGATGAATTAGTAGTTTCCTTATTTTGTACAGATTGTAAAATTTTGGTTTGTATTTGGTTTTTACTGTTCGTGGATTCATCAACATATCCTTCCGCAACACTACTAGATTTCCAACCACCGTGCTTTTTTAACAGAAGCAAGTCACCTCCTGCATCCACTAATAGCGTTGCGGATGTTCTGCGGAAACAGTGCCCAGTGTAATCTTGAGGATTCGGAAGCGTTAAAAACTGAGCAATTTCGTTAGGAAATTTACTGATTTTATTAATTCCAACAACCTGTCTGCTACACTTTCCATTCTGATAGTTAATAAAGAATCTTGAATTAATTTGATCCATGTTTGCGGGACGTAGGCTCATATATTTTTTAGAAATATCATAAAAGGGTCCAGAAATATGAAAAGAACGCATAACTTTTGTTTTTGTATTACGGATTTTAACTAACAGAATACTTCCAGTATCCTTTACATCGCTTATTGTTAAATCTTTTAGTTCGTGGCAACGACAAGCGCCAGATAATCCAAAAACTAATGCTACCTACAAATATTAGTAGTTATGTATTAAGTATTTGTTAAAATAAAAATAATAATTCCGTTACCTTTGTTATTAAATATTTATAGTCAGGTGCATTCTTTAGGAAAGTCTTTATGTCTTCAGGCGAAAAATTTTTGGATTTTTGGCTTTTAAAACCATCAGATTTTCTTTTCAAAACCGAACGTAACTTTGGATATTTACTAATATCGACATCATTTTTAACAGAGAGTGTAGTTCTTAGCATCGAATAAATGGACCATAACGTCGACGGTTTAAAATTTGAACATATTTCTCCAAAGTATGCTAGTAGTACAGTTTCCGAAAATGATTTCACTTTATTTTTTTCTCTCCAGTACAAAAATTTGATAAAAATTTCTTCATATCTCTTTTTTGATTTGGCCGGTAATAAATCTGAAGAGGTTTCTTTAGCTTTAAAAATAATTTCTGGGGGAGTACAATCGCTTTCTGACTCAGACATCATGAAAATGTGTTAAATTTAGGACGAACTGAAACTGACAGTTCTCAAAAGTGATAAAACTTCAAATAAACAAATGAAAACCAGGAAACTAGATGTAGATTGGTTTAATTTGCACTATTTTTATAGATTTTTATTTTATCTTTAATTCATTAAAGTTTAGGTAAAAACGCATATAGAATTTAAAGAGCATCTTTTTATTTCATTATTAATAATTATAAGCTGCCAAAATATTATACGAGGCGACTGATATATGAAAATATGTAACAACTTACTTTCGTCACTAGAGACGAAAGTAAACGTTATGGGATTTTTTCTCACTAGTGACGGAAATCAACTTTTCGCTGAAAGTATCCTGTGGCGAAAGATGTCTTTTTGTAAGAGTTCGTAGAAAAAAACATTTCTATCTTTATTAGATATACCTACTGTAAAAATAAATTAATTAAATTTCACTGATAGATGATTCTATTACCAAAAAAAACCGGATTACCAAACATACTATATACAAGCAACATCAGTTAATGAAAAAACTAAAACATATGATATTAGGTTCACAGCAATATACTGTTTACCAAGGTATAACATTAAAAAGGAACAATACAAAGAATTTATAGAGACACAAGGACATATTTATCATTGGAGATTTCAAAACGAAAAACACTCAATGGTATGATGCAATCAATATAAATGCAAAACAATATCAACAGGAAAACTTACATAATATTGGCCGACATATACTGGACAAATTCCTAATCTTATAGACTTCTTTATAGTCAGAAAAATATCGATGAATTATATGCTCATAGAAGAAGCTTGGGATATGAACTCAGTTTATTCCCCTATGCTTCTTACACTAATAAATAATTTACTTCAAAAAGAAATCTCTCCTCAATGAATAAAAAGATTGGAAAAGCTTCAATATAAAACTTGATGAAAAAATTAACCTCTCAATTAATTTATTAGACCATAAGGAACATTAATGAGTAAGACCTTAGTTTTAAAAGTTTCAAAACTGTAGGGTATTTTGTTAAACAATAAAACAGCTGATAATTTAAATGTGACATTTTATCCCTGATAAATGATGATTTTTTCATTTTCTGATATAAAGTATGATTATATGAAATTAAGCGTATGTATAGTGAAAACAGTAGAGGCCTTAAAATAGTTCCCTGAGGTACATCGTATTTTTTATTCCATCTGTATTTACAATTTGTTAATAAGTAAATAATATAAAACACATGAGGGAAATAGCCCAACGGCTAGTTCCTTTATAGACAATAATTACACAATTAATTTTTTGATGACAAGGGAAGGATATCAAATTTAAAAACGTAGAACGTGCATTTTTTTCAGTAATAACACTTCAGAATTGGTTGGTTAACTTCTCTGGCAAGTCTAGCTGGAATCTAGTATTTTTTTCGTAAGCTACATAGTGACACTAAAGAAGGCAGCAGAGCACCTACGGAATGCCATATTTTAAGGATATTTTAAGCTTATTTTTAGACCCTATTTAAAAATTTTATGCTCCTCGTTTTTTACAAAAATCAATTTGCTCTGAGCTGGCTTAGCTAACGAAGTCAGCAGATCACCTCACTTTTTTTAAGTTTTTTTTATCAAAAACAACACCATATTTTTAGGCTATTTTTAGGCTCTTAAAATATAAAATTTTTCGGAAAAAATTATTATTTTTTACAAAAATCAAGGTGCTTCGAACGAATCCAACAGAGCACCTCATTTTTTAAAGTTAGTTCAAAAAACAATAACAGCACATTTTTAGGGTCTTGAAATATTATAAAACTTTTGGAAAAAAAAATAGTACCTCGGTTTTTTAAAGCCTTTTTCTAAAAGCTAATTTTACTATTAGTTTAAGTTTTATAATATTTCAAGAGCCTATAAATAGCTTAAAAATTGCGACTTAATTAGCTGTTTCAGATAAAATATACACAGAACACGAGGCGAAATAACCTTAGTAGTTG